CTCGCCGCCCCGCGGAGGCCGGGGGGGGGGGGGGGAGGGGAGTGGTTAGCGGTTCCACACCTAGCCAAATACTACCTAGCAGCACAAGTTGAACAACTGGTAAAGTATCACTCAAACTTTGAGACTCTGGCCTGGGTGGCTTTGGAGTCTGCCATAGTACACCCCTCATCAGCCGCCAACCTCCTCTGGCTTGCTCAAAAACATGGACCAAAAATATCCAACCCGATCACATCTCATTCTCTCCGACTTTGGGACTTCTTATGGCCTCCTTTCACCTAATCTACCCCCCACGTCCTTCCTGGCTAACCCCTGCTTCACCCCTGCCCTGCAGCACCCGTCATGGTTTTCTGCGTGGTCGGAGTGAAACCTTACCTCCTTCTGGCAACTACGGACAGCCTCGGGAATTAAATCCTTCCCACACCTACAAGAGCATAACCAACTCCCTAGTAAGGAAATCTTTAGATACCTCCAGGTCAAGCACTTTATAGCCGCATACACCCCTAAGCAATCTAGCCCCAAATTATTATCTCCATTTGAAAGAGTTTGCCGTGATAATCCACATACCCCAGGACTTATCTCTCTCCTCTACTCCACCCTGATCTTCCCCACGGATACGCCTCCCCCTTCCTATGTGCCTCAATGGGAAAGAGACCTAGAGTCCCCCATTGACGAAGATATCTGGCAACAATCTTGGGCGAATACTAAATCCAGCTTGCGCTGTGCAAGCATGTTGGAAATTAACTACAAGTACCTCTTGTGCTGGTACATGGTACCTTCCAGAGTGCCTATCTATAACCCTAATTGCTCCCCTAACTGCTTTCGAGGTTGTCCGGAACCAGGCACCTTTTTCCACATATGGTGGAGCTGCCCACAGGCTTCTGCCTTCTGGGAAGAAATTTTCACTCTCGTATCATCACTGTTCTCTGAACCCCTGACCAAAGACACATTTTCCGCACTGCTTAATTGCAAACCAGACGGCCTCCCCCATAGACAGTTTAATCTTTCAATGCATATATGAACATCTGCAAAGAGAGAAATAGCTAAAAATTGGCTAACGAAGCCCCTTAGCATCCCTAGTGTAATCAATCATATCAACTGGGTTATGACACATGAAAAGCGAACAGCACAACTCAATGACCATATGGACAAATTTGAAAAAACCTGGTCTCCATGGATCGACAAATATTTTGCCTCAGCCACCCCACGCCAACTGTACAATATAACTTACTCTTACTATCCTCTCTGACGTAATAATCCTCCTACACCTACGTGCAGCCCGAATCCCTAGCTTCCTCTTCTTACCTCCTTCACACTAGACTTGCCTGCCTTCTTCTTCCTTTACAGTTTCCTCCTCCCCCCATGTTGTGTTGTCTGTTAGTCTTGTGTGGTGCCAAGGTTTGACGCACTCAGACGCCGGAAAGGCATTAAGCCTCCATGTAAAGACCAGACAGACTGCCTGCGAGCTTCATATACACATATGCGCCAAATATCCTTTTGGAAATGGAGTCCTGAGCTCCTCCTGTCGGGTACTTGACACAGGGATTGATGTCAGAGTCTCCATCATCCTCATACAGATAAGTTCTCTAAATTTCTGTAATGGCACCATATGTTGTACTGTATTGGAAGTTTTTCTGCTTACAAACCAATAAAAAAAATATATGAGAAGAAATACAAATAAACATATGCAGCATTAAAACAGGTCAAAATATAAAGCCATGAGTCCACGGGAATTCAAAGGTCCTCCACATAGGACCCCAGTATCAGCAAAGAAGCCATATTTACTAAGAATTACCGAAGCCATCATCAAAATAATACAATAACCAGTTAGGTAGATATTGTCCCAATATAGACCAGGATAATCAGAGAAAATAAGAAACTAAATCCCTGCTACGCAGACCCACATGGAAACGCAGAGCGGGTCTAACATATAGGCAATGAGACGGATCAGGAACGAAATCCGATAGGAAGCTTCACAGCTCCTGGGTGCAGGTTAACTCTCCAGATCTCCTGGGCGATCATCTATAGGCGGCCAAGCAGAGAGCCTAGGATGGCTTCTGCAACGTCTCGGAGCCCTAGGAACTCTAGCACGAGGGAGCTCCTCCTTCACATTAAAGAAGTGCCCTCTGCACAGGACTTCTCTGGATCGATTAGCATCTGACCCCCTAGGGCCGAGGGTCCAGTTGACACGATCCAGTTGGATCTGATCAGTCGGGGGCTTATCCAGTAAGGTGTTGAAAACAGCAGTGACAGCTGTTTGGAGATCTGCTCTGCTGGTAGCTTATGGAATCCCCCCCCCTTGCAAACAAAGCTGCATCTGGATCACGAAGGGCCCAAAATGCCACCGACGTTTAGTCATAGGGTGAGAAAGTATCCACTATATAGATCAGCTGAAAAATTCACCTTCACACTGCAGAGTTCCAATCACAGACATGAACCCAGTTCAGTGTCCGGGCTACGCCCCCCCTTGATTATGGTTTTTAATGGTACTACTGTTTTTTAGGAACTAGGCTATATAAATAAGTCATTACATCTATTTAAATTTCAGCAATGTTACTAATCACTCTATTGACTGAATTCCAACCAAATACATTTTTTAATTCATAACTTTCTAATTTGTAGGTCAGCCATTAAAAAAATACAATGAAAGACCTGATTTCTGCAATATCCAAGAAAAAGAAAAGCCTTTGTTGGGAAGAAAAGCATGTGTACCACTTGTTACTTTGGGATTGAGTATAAAAATATGCCAGGCCAAAATTTGGATAGAGTGGAGAAGGGTTAGAACCTCTGTCATGTTTTTACTGCGGTATAGGACTTCATTAGAGGGATTTCCCCTCACTTCCTGTCCTGCTGACAACTTTTTACCAGGCCGGAAATCTGAGGAACTATTCAAGAGCAACACCAACAAAAATAAGAATGCACTCTTTTTGTAGAGTAAGGGAAAGCTATGATCTCTGTGAGATTAATTTTTATATATGAATGGGGGCCAAACCACAATGTGAGAGTCCAAAGTGCCTTTACTTATTTGTAATAATGTCACATAAAAGTAGCCAACGTGTTTCGGAGGCAACAAAAGTCCCCCTTCATCAGGGCTTATAAGAATGGAATGTCTCTACTCCCATTTCTAAGTATAGCACTCCTGCTGCTATGCTGAGGTGCTATTACCAAACTGTATCTTGGGGAAAAACATGACAAATTCAGCTTCACCTACCTAAACATGTGGGTGTTGCTTCAGACCATTCTCCAGTGTTCTGGCAAAATACAGATGTTGTTCCATTTAATTCATATCCTTCATTACAAGAGAAGTTGCAGAAGGACTTATATTGGGATTTTCCATACTTAATAGTGCAGTTGATTTTTCCATTTGCTATTATTTGTAGGTCCGCACATGAGACAGCTGCCAACAAAGATATTACATTTTAAAAGACCAATTGGCAATCCACACCATGTACAGTTACATAGTTAGTCAGGTTGAAAAAAAAGACACATGTCCATCGAGTTCAACCAATAGAGATATGAAAAAAAAAAAGAAGAAAAAAAAGTCAACAGAACGCTATGCCCACAATTACCCACTGTTGATCCAGAGGAAGGCAAAACAAACCCTCATTATCAGATATGTCACACACACTTCTCGACTTTTTTTTATAAGCTGCATACCAACATTTGTGGATCTGTTATAGTGGACTCCATTTACTTGTTCTATAGAAAAATGTTGCAGCATTTGATGATTTACAATTGTCTGTGACAACTTATCACAACCCTTAGGGCAGGGGTCTCAAACTCGATTCATTCGGGGGCCACTTGAAATTTTTTTGCCCATGGGGCCACTTGCCAAATTTCATACTTCACACACACACACACAGATACGCTCACATAGAAATATGCAAAACCCCACACAACCAGAATTACAAACATTAATGCACACACTCTAAGGCCCAATTTACACCTGTATGTTTAGGTGCGATTAGGGATTCCTGCGTCAGGAACTTGCATTTTCCTGCAGCAGGAATCCCTAATCTGGTGTTTGCAAGCAGCAACTGTCACTTATTCAAGTTAATAATTAAGTGACAACCGCTGCATGCAAACGTCTGCACGCCACATGTAATGGTGTGTGATATTAGGAATCCATCATTATCCCTGGATGCATCGATCGTGCATCCAGGGAGAATGATTCCTAACTACATGTTATCATATCACATGCCATTACATGTAGTGTGCCAGCGTTTACATGCAGTGGTTGTCACCTGATTATTAAAATGAATGGGTGACAGTTGTCGCCTGTAAATGCCAGATTAGGGATTCCTGCAGGAAAATGCACGTTCCTGAGGCAGGAAACCCTAATCGCACCTAAACTTACAGGTGTGAATATGCTCCCCCCGTCCCGCGCCCACCCACACAAAAATGTATGCTCCTCCTGTTCCCTGCCCCCCCACACTCACATAAAACAATATACTCCCCCCATGTTCTCTGCCCCCCCCACACATAAAACAATATACTCCCCCAATGTTCTCTGCCCCCTCCCGTGCACACAAAAATAGAACTCCCCTCACCTGCATATGTTTTTGCAGGGAGGAGGCACATATTTCCCTGGTGATCTAGTGGTGATTGGTAAGGTCTGGTGCAGAGAGCTCTGGCCGAAAGGAACAGAGAGCACAGCCAGCAGCAGCTATGTGGCATGCATCAAACAGAGATGCAGACCGTGTAGCTGCTCAGGCAAGTCAGGTGCGTGGTCCTGACTTGTCAGCTGGCTGCGGGTCACCTAGTACCGGTTCGCCGGCCGGTACTTTGAGACCCCTGCCTTAGGGTGTCTATGCACAATCCTTATAATTGTAACATATGGTCTATGTTTATTTAAGGGATAGTGTGAGGCTATACAATATTGATATTTTTGTATCCACTACTCATGTTTACATATAACCTACACATAACCTTCAAATATTTGTCATAGACAGAATATTGCTAGTTCTACATCAAAGCACTGACGTTTCCCCTGGAATATTGTCTAATTTGATGCTCACTTCTTCCATAGTTCTCAAATTAAACATACGCTTGCATTTCGTCCATGGGTATGAGTCCTAAAAAGGGCTTCACTTCAGCACAAGCAAACTTCAACAAAACAGTTACTTATTATGGTGTAATACAGTTGTGCACATGAGAAACTGGGTTGTTCTATATTTACTGAGTGTGACTTTTTATATCTAGATAGGATTTAGGATCTGTGCAGGCCATTTCTGGTTTCCCCCCTATCTTCCAAATTAATAAGATTCTGCACAGTCCAGGTTAGAAGTCCATAATTTTAAAGCTTAACTTCGAGATTAAAATTTTTTTAAAAAAGAAACAACCTTTTACCTGTACTTCTTTGTAATAATGTCAGATAAAATCAGCCAATGTGTTTTAGTGGCAGCAATTCTTCCCCTTTATCAAGGGCTTAGAAGAATGGAATGGGGACTGTTGTGTGTATAAAACATCTCTACTCCCATTCAAAGAAGAACACTCCTGATACTATGCTGTGGTGCCATTACCATAGCTTGGGGAAAAAATTGACACATTTTTTTTAACTACCTAAACATGTGGGTGTTGGTTCAGACCATTCTCCAGTGTTCTGGCAAAATACAGATTTTGTTCCATTTAATTCATATCCTTCATTACAAGAGAAGTTGCAATATGTCTTGTATTGGGATTTTCCATACTTATCAGTGCAGGTGATTTTTCCATTTGCTGGTTCTTGTAGGTCCACACATGAGACAGCTGTCATCAAAGAAATTACATTTTAAAAGTCCAATTGGCAATCCACAGCATGTTTCATATATGTGTTACACACACACGGCTCTGCTTATTATAAGATAGTGTGTGTTTATACAATATTGTTATTTTTGCATCCACTATTTATGTTTACATGTAACCTACACATAACCTTCAAATATTTGTCTCATACAGAATCTTGTTCATTCTACATCAAAGAAGAACATACTTTTTACTTGGAATATTGTCTAATTTTGATGCTTACTTCTTCCATAGTTCTCAAACTAAATATACGTTTGTATTTGAAATAAGCCCTACAAGGGGCTTCATTTTAGCACAAGCAAACTTCATTATTTCAGTTACTTTCTTTGGTGTATTACAGTAATGTTTTATATTTACTGAGCATGGATTTTATATAAGATTTAGGATCTGTTCTGGCCACGGTTGGTCCCCCCCCCCCACCCTATTTTGCATATTACAAAAATTCTGCACAGTCCAGGTTAGAAGTCTGTAATTTTAAAGTTTATATTCGAGATAAAATTAAAAAAGAAACAACCTTTTACCTGTACTTCTTTGTAATAATGTCAGGTAAAAAACAGCCAATGTGTTTCGGTGGCAACAATTCTTTCCTTTTATCAGGGGCTTAGAAGAATGGAATGGGGACTGTTGTGTGTATAAAACATCTCTACTCCCATTCAAAGAAGAACACTCCTGATACTATTCTGTGGTGCTATTCCCATAGCTTGGGGAAAAAACAGACACATTTTGCTTCAACTACCTAAACATGTGGGTGTTGGTTCAGACCATTCTCCAGTGTTCTGGCAAAATACAGATTTTGTTCCATTTAATTCATATCCTTCATTACAAGAGAAGTTGCAATATGTCTTGTATTGGGATTTTCCATACTTATCAGTGCAGGTGATTTTTCCATTTGCTGGTTCTTGTAGGTCCACACATGAGACAGCTGTCATCAAAGAAATTACATTTTAAAAGTCCAATTGGCAATCCACAGCATGTTTCATATATGTGTTACACACACACGGCTCTGCTTATTATAAGATAGTGTGTGTTTATACAATATTGTTATTTTTGCATCCACTATTTATGTTTACATGTAACCTACACATAACCTTCAAATATTTGTCTCATACAGAATCTTGTTCATTCTACATCAAAGAAGAACAGACTTTTCACTTGGAATAGTGTCTAATTTTGATGCTTACTTCTTCCATAGTTCTCAAATTAAAGGAGAACTATGGGGTTAGGGCTTTTCCCCATAGTTCTCCTAAGGGTAACGGGAGGACACAAACTAGCGTCCTCCCGTCGCCCTAAGCTCTGTATACCGCAGCTGAAACGGATCCCTACAATTATGTCTGGATCCGCCCAGCTGCGTGAGTGACAGCTGGCTCTGCCTATCTTGAGGAAGAGCCAGCTGTACCCGCCCCCTCCCCCGTCCGTTCCGCCAGTCAGCGCTGGAGGATCAAAGCGGGGAGGGGGGAATCCAGTCCCTCCCCTGTCACGGCTCTCTGCCGTGACAGGATTGAGAAGTGAGCGAACGCCGGTATGTGTTCGCTCACTTCCCGATCTACTGAGCCGACCTGTGACAGTTTTATTGTCACAGGTCGGCTAGAACTATGAGGATGAGTCAAAAGCACTCACCTCATAGTTCTCCTTTAAATATACGTTTGTGTTTGAAATAAGCCCTAAAAGGGGCTTCATTTTAGCACAAGCAAACTTCATAATTTCAGTTACTTTCTTTGGTGTATTACAGTAATGTTTTATATTTACTGAGCATGGATTTTATATAAGATTTAGGATCTGTTCAGGCCACGGTTTGTTTCCCCCCCATTTTGCATATTACAAAGATTCTGCACAGTCCAGGTTAGAAGTCCATAATTTTAAAGTTTATATTCAAGATTAAAAAAGAAACAACCTTTTACCTGTACTTCTTTGTAATAATGTCAGATACAAAACAGCCAATGTGTTTCAGTGGCAACAATTCTTCCCCTTTATCAAGGGCTTAGAAGAATGGAATGGGGACTGTTGTGTGTATAAAACATCTCTACTCCCATTCAAAGAAGAACACTCCTGATACTATTCTGTGGTGCTATTATCATAGCTTGGGAAAAAAACAGACACATTTTGCTTTAACTACCTAAACATGTGGGTGTGGGTTCAGACCATTCTCCAGTGTTCTGGCAAAATACAGATTTTGTTCCATTTAATTCATATCCTTCATTACAAGAGAAGTTGCAATATGTCTTGTATTGGGATTTTCCATACTTATCAGTGCAGGTGATTTTTCCATTTGCTGGTTCTTGTAGGTCCACACATGAGACAGCTGTCATCAAAGAAATTACATTTTAAAAGTCCAATTGGCAATCCACAGCATGTTTCATATATGTGTTACACAAACACACAAACACACACACACACACACACACACTGCTCTGCTTATTATAAGATAGCGTGTATTTATACAATATTGTTATTTTTGCATCCACTATTTATGTTTACATGTAACCTACACATAACCTTCAAATATTTGTCTCATACAGAATCTTGTTCATTCTACATCAAAGAAGAACAGACTTTTCACTTGAAATATTGTCTAATTTTGATGTTTACTTCTTCCATTGTTCTTAAATTAAATATACGTTTGTATTTGAAATAAGCCCTAAAAGTGGCTTCATTTTAGCACAATTGAATACAAAAAGCGGTTCTGAGCCACCAGGGAAAACAGGATACCACACCCTTGGTATAATTGAAGCAAAAAAAAAGAGAAAAATAGGGCTTTTCAGGTGTCACTCTAGGCATGGAACAAACATATTGCACATTTAACTGTTAAAAATTAATTTTTATTGTACAAATAAATACAATTAAATAAATAAATACAAGAGGGGTCACTGAATATACCCGTTGGTTGCACACCCATATCAACTTCCTACACATAATATGATCTAAAATCACAAAAGGCCTGTAGCCTCCCTGGACCACACGGCCACATTCTAGGCATCGAAATGGTAATAATCATTTATAAATACAGGTATTCCTCACTTAACGATCGAGTTCCGTTCCTACGACCAGGTCGTTAAACGGATTGGTCGTTAAGTGAGGAACTCTATACAGTACTATACTGCATTAGTACAGTACTGTATAGCGTTGCCGATGTACAGTACCGAACAGTGTACTGTACATCCGGCAATGGAAATACTTACCGAGACCTGCAGTGAAGATTGGGGGATGTCACTTCCGCCGGCGACCCGTCGCACTGACGCTGACGCGGAAGGTCGGAGGTCGATCGGCGGTCCGCCGTAAGTGCGAGTAAAACAGGTAAGTCGGTAAGTGAGGAACATCTGTATTGCTAAAAATAATTGAGCTCATCATATATTGTCATAAACATGTTATAAAATCTTGCTTCCGATGCACCCTGGGTCCAATCTTCTACGCGTTTCACTAAAAAGCTTCCTCAGGAAGATAGGAGGCTGCCTGTAATATTTAAATATCATGGGTGTAACTACATATGACTATCCTAAGTAGTTACAAAAAAATAGTTTTGTATCACATAAACACATAACAGGCATTGAAAAATGCATAACCTTTGTTACAGGGTCTTAGTGGTGAATCAGTCCATATCTCCAATAGAACAGAATCCATCGCCCAGAGGACATAGGGAGTGAGGGGCTTGAAAAGGAGCTGCGGTGATATGAGGCCAGCTTCCGTCCATCCATACTGCAAATTAGGATATCAAAAATGTATACTGTATACGGTATATGTAAAATTGGGGCTACTCATAACTGATTTACGTGATCCATACATATAAACACGGCCTCAAACAAATAGTAGTATCCCCACACACATACTCCCCCATCTAAATAGAGAGGGGAGAGAGGGGGTAATTCTCTCCCAATTTGTCAGGCTTTATACACTATAATTGCTAAGATCAATAATGGATCAACATCCAGTAATAAAATGAGAGTCACCACAACTAGACTTACATTTGATTCAACTGCTTCACAAGAAACTCCATGATCACCTCTCCCGCCGAGCCCCCTAACCCCCACGCATTCCACCATACTATCCGCATCACATCACACTGCCTATATATCAGGCGTGTGACGTCAGGGGCCGGGGAGGGCCTATGGTCTGCGCCTGCGTCCGTTTGCGCGGCACATCACACCAGGAGGTTTCCTGTCATTCTGACAGGGCCCTTCCCGTCCCGGCTCGTCCAGCCTATGGGACGGCAGCAGCCACTCGGGCATCACCGAACCCACTCCCACCTGCCGCAACCGCGACAGGAAGCCGCTAGGCAGAAGGGCAGAGATATTTTAACTGAGCCGGAGGACCATCAGCCCACTCAAGGCACCAGCCTCGAGGTGGTGAGGGTCTGTGCACAGACCATCCCCCCTCAAGGATGGATGTCAAATAGGGGGAGGCCGGCCCAAACAAGTCATCAGTGCGAATAGGACCGTCCTCATAAGGAGGCACAGACGACTCACCGCTAAATCCTTCATTGTTTGGTCTATGTTGCATATACAAAGTATCATATCAATAATTGTAACAATATCATATAGTGTTGAGTGTCCATAATTTATAAAATAACAGTGGCACATTGCAACACCATCAACAGAGCATCGGACCATCACAGATGATAGAAAATTAAATTTATACAAAAGGTATTTATTCCATTGGTTCTACCTTAATGAGAATACATGATAATTGAATAATTACAGTATTTAAGTAAAAAGTGAAGAACATTTTCAAAGTGACAATGTGCTTTATCATAGATACATCAATATGGAGCCATGTGTCGCTGGACCTACAACCCACCGGCGCATACCACCCCAATACTAAGTGTTGTGTGCATGTATATAAAGAGCCCAATGTAGCTATACCTAAAGCTACATGGCTCCTAGTCCCCCTAATCTATTTGTGTCAACCCTCAAAACAAATCCATATCAACCTCCATCTCTACCCCAGGAGAGGTGATCCTGGAGTTTCATGTGAAGCAGTTGAATCAAATGTAAGTCTAGATGTGGTGACTCTCATTTTAGTACTGGATGTTGATCCATTATTGATCTTAGCAATTATAGTGTATAAAGCCTGACAAATTGGGAGATAATTATCCCCTCTCTCTTTAGATGGGGGAGTATGTGTGTGGGGATACTACTATTTGTTTGAGGCCGTGTTTATATGTATGGATAACGTAAATCAGTTATGAGTAGCCCCAATTTTACATATATATACATTTTTGATATCCTATTGTAATTTGCAGTATGGATGGACGGAAACTAGGCTCATATCGCCGCAGCTCCTTTTCAAGCCCCTCACTACCTATGTCCTCTGGGCGATGGATTCTGTTCTATTGGAGATATGGACTGATTCACCACTAAGACCCTGTAACAAAGGTTATGCATTTTTCAATGCCTGTTATGTTTTTTTTTTAATGTGATACAAGAATTATTTTTTTTCACTACTTAGGATAGTCATATGTAGTTACACCCATGATATTTAAATATTACAGGCAGCCTCCTATCTTCTTAAGGAAGCTTTTTAGTGAAACGCGTAGAAGATTGGACCCACAGTGCATCGATGCAAGATTTTATAACATGTTTATGACAATATATGATGAACTCAATTATTTTTACCAATATTTATAAATGATTATTACCATTTCGATGCCTAGAATGTGGCTGTGTAGTCCAGGGAGGCTACAGGCCTTTTGTGATTTTAGATCTTAGTATGTGTAGGAAGTTGATATGGGTGTGCAACCAATTTGTATTTATTTGTTTTTTTTGTACAATAAAAAATGATTTTTTTAACAGTTAAATGTGCAATATATGTGTTCCATGTCTAGAGTGACACCTGAAAAGCCCTATTTTTCTCTTTTTTTGCTTCATTTTAGCACAAGCAAACTTCATAATTTCAGTTACTTTCTTTGGTGTATTACAGTAATGTTTTATATTTACTGAGCATGGATTTTATATAAGATTCAGGATCTGTTCAGGTCACGGTTGGTTTCCCTCCCTATTTTGCATATTACAAAGATTCTGCCCAGTCCAGGTTGGAAGTCCATAATTTGTAAAGCTTATCTTCAGGATTTAAAAAAATAACCTTGGAATACTGGCTGATGGTCATTATTCATCACTTCTTTAAGGCCCTCCAGCAGTCCAGGACCAACATGTACATGAGGACAGCGAGGACCTACAGAGCGCTGGACATTATAGAAGAGTACCAGAGTCTGCTGGAGCAAGGAATAAAGTATGTATTTCTCTGCCCCTAGGCTTAACAAGAATTTAACTCTTGCTGTGCACGGGGAAGTTTTTAAGGTAGTTTTTATAACTCAGAGTTATTGTTCAGCTTTAAAGCTACATATACACTGAGTGGCCAGAATATTATGACCACCTGATGTTTGTAGGCAAATTAGCTATAATTAGCTGTAATTTCGCGCTGAAGTTGGTAGAGGGCCAGATCATTATAAATAGGGAAGCAGGTTGTTTACCACGACAGTAGAAGTGATTTTTTATTGAGGAAATTACTTCTTCGTGGCATGCTGTATTCTCGAAAAGATTGTAATTTAATCTCCATGTACTTTTTCCTCTAAGTCTGTTTTCTATCTTAAGAGTCAATATTACTGCTGCATGGTCTGACCAGATGATTGAACCTATTTCAATCTCTGGGTCATTATCCAAGATTCTCTGGTCTATCCATATATGGTCTATTCTGCTATATGATATGTGTACTGTGGAAAAATAGGTAAAATCCCTCCTTGTAGGATTTAATATACGCCAGCTGTCCACCAATCCCAATGTATCCATTTTGATTCCAAGTTTTTTTAACCCCTTTACCGGTAAGGGTAGTTTACTTGTAGTATCTAATTCTGTGTCAAACGTCAAGTTCATATCTCCCATCACCATTTTCGTGCCTACTCCATACTGTTCAAATTTATTCAATATCTTTATACCAAAGTCGTGTTGTCCCTTATTTGGTGCATAAATATTCGCAATTGAATACAATTCATTACAGTACAAAAATGTGAAAAAAATATATCTCCCACAAATATCTATTACTGTATCTATTACTTCCACTAGTGCATTTTTATGTATTCCTATAGATACCTCCTTAGATTTGCTCTCTGGATTTGTGCTGTGAAACCATTTAGTATAGTATTTGTTACTTATTTCTATGTGCACCCCCTTCTTAAAGTGTGTTTCTTGTATACACAAGATATCTACCCTTTTTTTATGAAAGTGGTACAAGACCTGTGAACGTTTTTCTGGTAGATTAAAACCTCTAACATTATAGGTACCTAGTGTCAGACTACCCATAACAAGATTAAGTGACTCTCTAGAATTTTTAAGCATATGACCTGAACACATACAATCACTGATTCATACATTAATACAATCCTACCTTCACATATTCTTAAACCATCCATACAATTAATATGTTCTTGTATACAGCGTGGGACATTTTTTTTCCCATCCTGTATAAACCAATCAAGAACCAGCCCAAAAAGAGAGAAAACAAAAAACAATGGGCTATATTGGGGTTGTGGATGCCAGAGATACGTCTGTCTGATACCATCTTACCCGCCCCACCAATTCACCACAGTTTCTCATAACCCGGTCAAATTAATTAATAATTAACAATTAACTACATTCCACCCATGGCTTTGTTGTTCTTGAAGTATGCTTAAGTCCTTTGGCCAGTCTGGTAAGGTAATCCTGGGCAATTCCAGTGTTTCTATAAAAACTGGGACATCTTCTAATGTCCTGAATTTTGCTGTTTTCCCATCTTTATAAGCTATTACCTGGAAGGGGAACCCCCATCTATATTTTATTCCTCTCTCCTGTAAGACCTCAAGCAGGGGTTTCAGGGCTCGTCTGAGCGTCAATGTCTGTTTTGAGAGATCTGGAAAAAAAGTCACTATATATCCATAAAACAAAAGCAAAAAATCAGGAGCGCAACTACCAATGTTTGTATCAAAGTGTGGGACCATTGGATATATAAAAAAGGAGGACAGAGTCAGGCACACTGTAGGATCTTTAGAGTGTGGAGTTTAGGTATCTATGGAAATATCACAATGGAAAAAAGGTGGAACTCCTCATTAGGAGCTCCCCTGTTGTCTGTGCGATCATCTG